ACCCCAGGGCCAAGAAAGAACTCCTACGGCAAGCGAGACACGATAATCAGCCAACATTGCACACAGAACAGGGGGCAGCAAACGGATAACCCACAGAAGGCGCCAAAGGCGGAGACTCGAGAGATGGAGCCGACAATCCAACCAAGGAAAGCGGACCCCCATGAAGGCCGAGGCCGCCAGTGCGAAGAGGGACCTGCGGGGAGACGGGCCCGTCTATCGCAAGCGCAAGGACAACACAATAGCTCGGCGACACCTCACCACGCCACGTAAGCCCCATCCAGGAACAAAGGAAGGCTGCGCGGAGCTAGGCGCGTCAGTGCCAAGAAAGGCAAAGCCATCGACCTGGGCACGACAGCGGTACGGAAACGCATCAGAATGATCGCACATTCAGGACAACCGGGAATCAGTGGTTTACATCTAATTAATCTAAACCTAAGGAGAAGGAGATCAGCCGCGATGCAAGTAGGCAGATGAACAGGGCGTAAATCGCCCACGCGCATTGGAGACCGCAGTAAGACGCAAGAGTAGCCAATAATTTTCCCTGTCATAAATGCAAGCATCTTACCGCCGCTCCGGACCCAAGGCTTAAAACTTGCGGACCAGCCGAAGACCCTCCCACCCACCCATTAAGCGCATTGGGATGTGGTGTGGCCTGATTAAACATTGGGATCGGGTGTAAGGCTGGACGCAAAGGCCCACTTCACGCTAGTCCGGTACGGAGCGACGAGCATTTACATTCAAGCTCGTACCAAGGACTTCCGTGCCCTAATCCCCGGCCTTAATCCGCACTGGAAATACACCCTAACCCTTGAACTAGACACCCTCTCGCCGGGACCTGAAAGGGAATCCCAATCGTTAAAGTGATCGCGATGCTTATTAGTCCATAAAAAATAGCCGCTGTTATCACCATTTGTCGCTATTTGTTGCGGTCGCCTTCGCCGCGGCCGTCGACGGGATGCGCCGTTCAACTCCACACATGTTTAAGAATGCAAGATGAAAATTATGCATTACCAATAGCCAAAGTAACAACTATTAACCGATGATGTTGGCCGCGCTGTCACCTTGCATTATCGCACATGTAAAACGACACACGCTACGCGTAAGGTAGGGCTTGCCCAAAAGAGGAATTGCCAAAGTCCCCTGTAATGGGTGTGGTGCAATTAGTGTGGTGCATTGATGGAAGGAAGGTAGCTAGATGCATTTCAATGCCGTACATATTTATAATGCGAGTTGAAGGATTGGACGTACTTATGCGAAAAGGAATGGCTGAAAGGAATATCGGGTGCTTGATCAGAAGTCGTGGACGATACTGGTGTTAATAATTTTCCGCGGCCGAGGTGTGTGTGGTTGTTACGGCCGAGGTGATTGCTCACTTGCATGTCAAGAGAAATGCATGAAATGACGGGCACATCAAGGATGTGATTGGTGTGTCGCGCTGAAACAAGGGCACGAGATTCTAACAAGAAATTCCAAGTTATTCCAAGTCGTCGGCTGCTGGTTCCCCTAGCGGACACGTTAGACGTGCTGCGTTTTCTGAGTCAGAAGCCTATGCACTTCTGCCAGGCTGGGCAACATGCAGTCGTATTCGACACGTTGTTGTGATGTGTATAACGTAAAGGAATAGCAATTGGTTCATGGGCTGTTACACCATTTGCGGCACATATTCATAAAGGTCGAGTACCGACTGTGACTCTGCCTCTGCCGTAAAAATTAGCGCAGCGGCGGGTTGGTTGCTTGAGCCGTTCCACGCCAGCTGTGATGAATAGTCAGCCTGTGTTAACACAACACTGATGCGAAAATATTCCGAATCGAATAAAGTAAGAGCCGCGCCAGAGGCGCCACCAAGAATGACCGGTAACACTACTTCCGGCACAGGGTATCTCTACTTACTTGGCCTGCCTAGCATAGTCGCGAGGTCTGATTTCTGTAACTCCCAAGTTATGTTTTAACAAGAAACGCCATCGGGGATTGTCAGAAGACACGGGGTTGACTTACACAATTCACTTTAAACGAGGTACGGGAAGTTCGTGTACGTCACTTTGTGCCGTTCGGGCAGGCATGGACCTGACAACTCCGGGAGAGAGTTGCCACACTACAATGGACAAGACGCGGATGCATTTAGAACTCACACAAAAAGCGAGCATTGTCTCTTTGCAACTTATTATAAACGTACACATCTATGAATGTTGGCCATCACTATTTATCCAGACAGACCACACACAGCCCAGGCAATAAGTTCGGACCGCATGGCAGTATCCATAATTGTGATGTGGTCTCCTGAACGCTCCTTGACGCAAATGCATTGATTGCCGCGCGGGTGCGATGATAAACCAGGGCGGCGCATCCTGTTGGTCCCCTCAAAAATTCATCCACGTTAGTCAGGCGCCAGAGAGTTGTTTGCAGGGACCATCCTTGCCGCATGTTGTTGCGTTGTGTCGGCGGCGTCCAGTAATTTGTGTCGTTGCGGTGGTTGTGACGGCGGTGACGGCAGATGTTGCTGCTGCCATAGGGGTGTGCGTGGCCAATTCGTTTGGCGTCGGGGTGGAGTCTTGGTCTGTTCCGAGCATGGAATCGGCCAATGGATCCGTTGCAGCGCTGTACCGAAGGATGTTGCCGTTGTTGACGGCGAAGGCGCCTTGTACTGGCTGCCTCAAGCGTCCCAAGATCCGTTCTAGGCCGTCAAGCAGGGCGCGGTACAAGTCCGGGTTGCCGTTGTTCCCGTGCCGTAATTTGCCCCACAGAGCTAATGCAACTTCGATTATCGAACAGATTTCCAGCAAAGATTCCAGCATTCGGAATTTCCCACCCGTTTCCCATGTCAAACTCTTCCCACAGAGTTCAACGGTGTATCCCGGGTGCAGTCGACAAGTAAAATGCACATCCTCCTGAACGGGAACGTCGACAAGGACGACGAGCTCCTAGAAGCTTGCATGCCGGAGGACTACAACGTGCAGACGGCATTCAACGCGGCGCAGGCAACAACTCGCAACAACCTTGCCGACGGCACCTATACAGGCTCCGTCGTCATCGTCCAAGACCTCATCGATCACATTCAAGGCCTGGAAGACATCCTGTTCTACAGGTACGTATACTTGACACATGTGGTCTTAGACTCGTCTTTCCCTTGAATAAATACTGCCACGCCAAGTAAACCTCAAATTTGCACATCCTGCTGCTTCGTAGCAAAGTCCAGCACCCAGCCGCTCACTCAATAATACTTACTATTCATCACGTTTACAACTGCACCCTTTTCGGCTATTACCACAACTCTTTCAGGTGCACCGACAACACCTGCGGGGGCGCAATCACTAAACACCTGCAACCTCAAGTATACGTACCTGTAGAACAGGATGTCTGCCAGGCCTTGAATGTGATCGATGAGGTCTTGGACGATGACGACGGAGCCTGTATAGGTGCCGTCGGCAAGGTTGTTGCGAGTTGTTGCCTGCGCCGCGTTGAATGCCGTCTGCACGTTGTAGTCCTCCGGCATGCAAGCTTCTAGGAGTTCGTCATCCTTGTCGACGTCCCTGTTCAGGAGGATGTGCGTTTTACTTGTCGACTGCGCCCGGGATACACCGTTGAACTCTGTGGGAAGAGTTTGACGTGGGAAACGGGTGGGAAATTCTGAATGCTGGAATCTTTGCTGGAAACCTGTCCGATTAAATGTCAGGTAAAAGCGTGTTGAAAATTACTGTGCTGTTAAACGATAGCATTGTGTCGCCTTACTGTATGCAGGTTGCGTTTCCATATTGCGTACATACCTGCCTTGCGTGCCCCAAAGCACAGGATTGGTTGTTTGTGGTCCGCCGCCAACTTCAGCATTTGTGGCAAGCACGAGAAAGCGCCGTCAGCGTGCCAAACCAGCATCTGTGGGGACGGATATAATGTTAATTACAATAAATTCGTGTAAAAATGTTTGAGGTTTCCCTGCTTATTCGAAGAGAACCGTCATATTTACCACCGCAAGATTAGTCCATGTTGTAAGGATACTGGGAGCTATAGCGAGGTCCCCGTGCACGTGAGAGTCATGGAACGGGGACCCCAAAACGAACGGTGCAAGGCCTCACACGGGGAACGTAAACCCTCCCCGTCAAAATCGCAACAATTTGCAATTTTGTTTGGTACTTTTTCAGCAGCTCCAAAACGTTTTGATGCTGTAAAAGCTGCAAGCTTATTAGGTGTAATGATCAACGACGGTTCAAAACGTACTCCCCGAACCGTTCCTTCTCTGTAATCCATACCCCGGTGCTGTCCTCCAGTATAAAGAAATGTTATTCAAGTATACTGGGCCGTAGTTGTGCTGTCATGTATAGCAGTATCAACAATTACTTGCCCGTAGCCCAGAAGCCATCGAAAACAAAACCTGCCCTTAAGAAGACAGAAATAGTAGCGAAGGCACAGAAAGAAACTGCGGAAAACGCCGCCACCAAAGAACATGTGCCCTTGCTCCACATGCAGCCTGATCAAGACGAAGGTCCCGTAGAAGAGTGTTTCTATACTAATCGTACACATGATGATGTGAATGCCGTGGGTGAGGAGGATGCATCATCGGGTGAGGGTTTAAAGTATACCTCTGCCACTAGCTGGCGGGAGTTCGCGTCCTCACTGAGGATGATGAGCCTGGCAGGCCCATCATCCTCATCGGTGTCCGAACCCTCACCCGATGATGCATCCTCCTCAACCACGGCATTCACATCATCATGTATACGATCAGCGTAGAAATACTCTTCTACAGGACCTTCGTCTTGATCAGGCTGCATGTGGAGCAAGGGCACATGTTCTTTGGTGGCGGCGTTTTCCGCAGTTTCCTTCTGTGCCTTCGCTACTATTTCTGTCTTCTTAAGGGCAGGTTTTGTTTTCAATGGCTTCTGGGCTACGGGCAAGTAATTGTTGATACCGCAATACATGGCCTTGTCTCCACGTGGGCCCCCCGTTCTTCGCCATCCCTCCGCCTTCCGTCAAACCTTTTGCATTTCTATCATTTATTTATATAGAATGTCATATTGCGAAACAGAACGTGCAAACCTGACGTCCAGGGTGAGAATTTTTAAAAGGGTCGCTAACAAACGTCCACGTGGAGACTCCCTGTAAAGATGGAACTGTGAACTAACATCCGGGGAAGGTTGTAGGTTATGTACTTACGTTTACGTATATTTTTTATGCAGCATGGTCGAAGAATCGAGGACGGTGAAGGTGAAGTCCTCCAACTCGTACCATCGATTTATCCCGTGGATGTTGTCCGGCGGGTTGGACAGCGGAATGGCGCGCTCAAACAGAAGCGCGCTGTTATAAAAGTGTATGTCGCCGGTGAGGAGATCGACAAAGACTCGGATGATCTCGTCATCCTGGTTTTGCGATTTGTACCTGAAAACAGGAGTTGGATTGATATTCATTACGCAAAGGAGGGGTTAAACACATGTACTTAAGAGTAAGACGGCGAGCAATTTTGTAAAAAGTGAAGGCATTGGTAGAAGTACATACTGCAATAAGTTGACGTTGAACTCGCGATCATACCTGTAAAGCACCGCCATAGTTGTATTCGCCAGGGGTTTCTTACCCATCAGAATTATCCCTGCTCCATAACCGCCGCGAAGGGCGATTTCACTGCTAAAGGCTCCCGCACGCCAGGCAGCCAGCATGTCGGCTCTGGTGTTTTGGAGTTCGGCCGGTAAATGGTCTAATAGGGTCTGCGGCGGGTGGCGACCCACAATTTTTGTTAGGATGATGACAACTTCCACCGGAGTCCTGTGGGTAATGAGAAGATGTAAAGTTGTAGATGGGAAATTTGGGATACTGCTAACAAACGTTGGCAATGGTGATTCACTTACTTCTTAGGTGAAGGCAATGAGGATGAGGCACCTGCCCGTAGCGTCTTCGGAGTCCCAGGCGAGCCAGGTTGTTCTTGGGAATCTCTGGAAAATAAATTCATCGATAAAAAGACAAAATGTTGTGCTTCCTTAAATGAACGATGCAGTGAGTGATCTTACCAGTTGTGGAACGACTTGAGCAAAAATTCCATTTTTGTTCGCCATGTTAAGAAATAGGTCTATGGGCGAATGCAAGCACAATGCGTGCGATATGTGTACCGTTAAGGAATAAGTCTATTCGGCGGCAGCGGAGTTTTGAGCTCCAAACACCTGGTAGTCGTGATACTTCAGTGTCTGGCCAGAGCACCCCGCCCGGCCGGGTAGCTTATATCTCGGCCTACCTTCCGGAGATTCGCTACCACGGTCCTGCCGTACTAGGATAATGTCGGTGAGGCCCGGGGCCCCAGCTGGGGCTGCAGCCCGTTAGATTCGCTTACGATCAACTGCCATGTTCGAGGCATGTGTCGAAAGTCGAAACATGTTCGATTCTTGAGTCGAATCGTTGAGAGTTCTTGTTAACAGTAATCGTTGAAATGTTGTAAGGGAAATGTAGCTTACTACAATTTGATTGTCGTGCATCTTTTGCAAGCTAACGACGTTGTGTCACGAGAAGCTACTACGTGTGTGAGTATTAGGCAACTGCGTCGAGCTTTCGTCGAGCTTTCGTCGAGCTTTCGTCCTAAAAGTGACTCATATGAGTTATATATGCATATATTTGCTGTGCGCAAGCGGTCGGTTGAGAAGGGGTGGGCCACCACAACATGGCCTACTTTGCCCACAGCAACCCTTCAATTTCACACAAATATACACCACCGAAACTAAGCACGTCCCTGTGCGAGCCCAAGATGTACCATCGAACAAATGCACACGTAGGCACAAGATCACCGCGTATAGCACTCAAGAGCTATTTACGTAATGCATTGGCATTACTCACATGAGCACGTACGCCACAAACCCCACAGACATTGTTATGCGCATTCCGTTAATTACGGTTATGACTAACATATCCTTGTTACTATTACTTGTAACGCATAGGCGGAACAACTCCTGCCGTACTATCGTACAGCCGAACCAATTCAGGGGTATATCCTTCCTCCGGTCAGGTTAGAAGGCAGGTCTATGCTCTCAGCGCACATGACCTTGTCACCATGCGTGTACTTGAAGAGGGGCTACCGATGTTCCAACCGGTTACCTGGAAAACACGCGCCCGCTACCTGGGGCTGCACTTCGGACCAGACTCGGGTTTTGCGTCCTGCACGGCTGAGCTGTTCTCGGCTGGCCAACGGGCCATGTTTGCTCTGCGCAACAAGCTGCGCCGGCAGGGTCTGCTGCTACCTAGCGTCGGCATGAAGTGTTTCAATGCGCAAGTGCGTTCTGTCCTATCGTACGGCTCGCAGGTGTGGGGGGCTGACCAGGTTCTCGCGATGTTAGAAAAGGGCTATCCGGCTAACAAGAGGCACCGCGGTCATGCTATTTCGATGTGGCCGTACGAGACCGAACGGTCAAGCTCCAGATCTTTTTCATGAAACAACTGGCAGGGACTTCCGTACCAGCCCTCCAGCTTTTGTTTCGGGAGCTAGGGCAGATGCCTCTACAGCTGCACTGGGCTGAATCCGTATTTCGCTTCTGGAATAGCTTGGTGGAGGACATTAGTAGCGTATACCACAGCGCCTTCCGTCAGGAAGTTCGTTTGGCGTTAGTAACGTATTTGCAGTTTGATGGTTGGGGATCCCTAAGTCATTCGTATCCTTAACCAGTTAGAGCATGACTGGGGTAAAGGAGGAAGCAGTCGGGGGAAGCATTGACGTGAGGGTTAGACGTTACTCGGCATGCAAGCTTGATGTCGAAGCGCTGACGGGCACCCTTAGGGCACGTGTGTCAACGACGACTGGGCGAATGACAGGCAGGCTGTGGACCATAGAGTCTTCGCTACGGACGGTAGGAAGCCCGGCGTGAAGATGTGCCGGCATAAGCACTGGATGGGGCTGCCGAAGCCGTACACGGGTTATATCCCCCGGCGCATCATCGTGCCCTACTCCGTTTTCGTTTGTGTGTCTCCGCCTTGGCGATTAACAGCGAGAGCAACAGGGCTAGCGAGCACCGCGTGTGCGCTGTGTGTCATAGTAACGGAGCTATTGAGGATGAGAAACACTTCTTGGTAGAATGCCCGGTGATTGTGTATGCGCGTCAGAAGCTGCTGGGGACAACTGCTGGGGACATGGTGCTGGTAGGGCTTCCCCGCTGCTGTGCTGTGCAGGTAGGTGCCGAAGTACCTCCATAGGTTGTTGGTTTGGTTGGTACGAGCGACTCGAGGGGACACAAATCAACTTGCCCAACACACAGCCCCAGCACACAGTTGAGGGGGGCCAGCCGTCTCCGTAAAACAAACCCCTTGTTCTTATTCCTTTCATGTAAACATATCGCAGTATTAAAACAATGTTGGCTGTTAGCGGGTGGCCAATCTAACGATGCTACTACAGTGCACTGGTAATGAAGGTAGGTAAGACCCGCAACGAAACGTTCATGGCTGTCATCCAATCCAACAATTGCACGCGGTGGTGTGTGCACTGTGCTGCTACACGACCCTCCAAATGCATCTTCGGACATTGAAACGGTGACATTTTTATTAGGCCACGGATGATCGGTGATGATCGGCATCTGTGCGCCACATGGGAATCTCATCAGGGGTCTCCGCATCTCTGTGAGGCCTCCTCCTCCTCCTAGTCCTGCTATCTCCACCCTTCCCCTCCTCCTCCCGTCACACACTTGCGGCCGGCTCGCTGTGTTGCCTCAGCAGCCATCAGAAACAATCTCAGTCCTGGGCCCGGCACGGTCATCATCATCGTTGCCGCCGCCACTTCCCAAAGCCCCCAACTGCACCTCCCAACGTCTGCTACTACGCCTACTAGCGGAAGGTTCGAATACGTTGCCGAATTCGGTGGTCAATATCCCGCAGGGTGCCCTCGTACACCCGACCCCATACGACCGGGAAGCCCACGCGTTGCAGCTCATCAACACCCACATCACCTGCTACTGCTACCGTTGCCGCTGGAGCCGCAGCAGCCAGCTCGTCAACTCCGTCAGCCGGCTCGTCAACTCCGTCAGCCAGCTCGTCAATTCCGTCAGCCGGCTCGTCAATTCCGTCAGCCAGCTCGTCAATTCCGTCAGCCGGCTCGTCAACTCCGTCAGCCGGCTCGTCAACTCCGTCAGCCAGCTCGTCAGCTCCGTCAGCCAGCTCGTCAGCTCTGACTGGGAGCCGCCTGCACGGCGGCGGACCCAGCGCCAGCTCCGGAAACAGCTCCAGAGGAATGGAGGAAAGGGGGTCGCCGCGAGCTATACTGGTAGCATTCCATGAAGAAAATGCCATCCGGGTTGTGGCAGATAGGGGCCGCTGCAAAACTTGGACGGGGGCCTGAGCCGGAGTGCCGTCCCTAGAAGGCGGAGGAGGAGGTCTTTTAAGTCGTGGGGCCGGTGCTATCATGGAGCAGCTACCACCCCTGCCATTGCAGTTGGAAGCCCCTCCCTGGACAGGGCTGTGGATCCCAACATAGGACTGGTGCGACTGCGGATATACCTCAGGGCTGCTAGCAGCAGCAGCTGTAGCAACAGCAGCAGCAACCGCTGCAACTGCCGGGGTGGCGCCATGGCTACACGGCGGCTTGTCAGGGGTCGTGAGCGCCCTCAGCTGCGCCCACGTTTGCGGTTGTGCATGAGGATGAGGAACTGGATTAGGATCAGGATTAAGTGACGGCAGCGGTAGAAGTGATCCATGTCGATGTCGCCCCGACAGCCGCCGCTGCCACCGCTGCTGCATTCGCTGCTGCTGCTGCTGCTGCCGCAACTCGTGTTTGCCAGGTTGCGACGGCGGCTGGGGGCGACTGTGGGGCTCCCAAAGCGACAGGGTAGAGGAACAGCGAATGGTCTGCGGCGGTGAAGGGCTGAGCCTGGCTGCACGGATGCCGGCCCTGTCGCTAGCACTGTCCATATCCCTTTCCGCTATATCGATTCGCGTCTGTGTGGTATCTGGGTCTGCGGCGCTTTTCCCTTTGCCACTGCCCGTGCCGCCGTTGCTGTCCACATCACTTTTTCCGTTGCTGTCATCATCATCATCATCATCATCATGATTAGGATTAGAGATAACGATGGCCATGTCTGCAGAGGCCCCGGGGCTCCGTTCAGCCGACGTCACCATCACCGTCGGGACGTCGTCCGCGGGGACCCCCCTCGGGGGGACGGCGGCGGGGCGCCACTCCGAGCGAGGTGCGGCTGCTGAGGGGGCAGTTACCCCTGCTGACGCGGTGGCAGCAGCAGCAGCCGCAGCAGCCGCAGCGGCGGCGGCGACCGTGTATCGATCCACCACCTGGCGGGCGGCCTCCCGCACCTGCAGCTCACACGTGTGAGGATACATATGGGGATCGATCACCGGTATGGGAAGAGCCTGATGGGCCCAGCAGGGCTCAGTTAGCAGTTGAGCACTTTGGTAGCAAGTTACAAGTTCCGCACAAGCACTTGTGCGAGGGTGTCCGTAAAAGCCATTGGGGGGCTCATGGACGGTAGCAGTGCGGGCCAAGTGCGTCTCATCGGGTGCCTTGCCGCGTTGGGAGGTCTCGGCTGTGTGGGCCACCAGGCGCCAATGGCGGAACGCAAAGCACGTCATGGCTGTAGGTGTGGTGAGGTGTGGTATGGGATTTACGCAAGCCCATGCGTATGCCCAATATTCCCCCCGGTATGGCCGTCATATCGTTATCCTGAACCCCCAAGCCGGCCTCCTCAGTGCAAGGTCATCGCACACAGCACCGCCCTCCTAACTAACTACTAACTAACGCCCACACCATCTGCCATTGCAAACAATGCCCACCAGCCACTCACTCACTCACTCACTCACTCACTCACTCTCTCACTCACTCACCAGCCGTTCGGCGAGCTGCAAAGAGCCGTTGAATGGCTGCGGCTGCGGCTGCTGCTGGACCCCCTGTTCGCATGGCGGGAGGGGCGGTGCGCACGTCGTCATGCAATGCGGTGTGTGTGTGTGGGGGGGGGGGGAACAATGCGTCCCGTGTTTTCGTAGCATAAGCATCGGCATCGGCATCGGCATCAGCAGTCACAATCCGTCAGCATCCCTCGAGGGTTCCACCTCCTCCTGCACACATGCCGGACACACCCCCACACAACTGCACAGCGCGCAGGGCCGCATCCCCCCACACCACACACCACACACCACACTCACCCCACCGGAACCGCCACACAGCCCTTTACAGCCTATTAGCTGGTAGGCTAGCAGGGGCCACTGAACCGGGACCAAGTGGGGCCGCCCACAGCGGGTCACCCCGCAGAGACGCACCCATGAGCGCGGCGCCTCCCTGCCATCGCGCATTAACCCGCAACACATATTATCATGCCCTCCTCCCCGAGCACATCTCCTCGTATCCTACCGCGCCCACTCACGCCGCTCATTTCCTGCCACCCGCCCACCTCAACATGGCAAACATGGCAAGCTTCCTCACGGACATCCATCCACCCGCTCCCATGTCCACTTTCACTTTCACTCCCACCTGCATGTACCTGTACCTGGTATTGCAGCTGCCGGCCTTGGTGCCCCTGCCGCTGCTGCTTTTGCTGCCGCTGCAGCAGTTGCAGCTGTCCTGGGTCCGGAGCTGCCAGCCATGTGTACCACACGGGACAGCGCATGGCGTAAGGCTCGCCGGCTTCAGCCGCCCGCATGGAGATGGCCGCTAGGCTGGCGCTGAGTGGCGGAGCGACCCACGGGTCAGACCCAGGCCGGCTGAAACCCAGCTTGGCCCAGTAGCCCTCCACGTCCCGGTCGCCCACGACCACAGTGGCGATCTGTCAAATACACACCCACCCGGGGGAAACCCCCACCCCCCACCCGCTCAACCCCAATACAGCGCCGTCGCACGACATGAGGCGCAACTCATAGGTGTCCAGGCAACGAACAGCGCGCACCGCCGACATACATACATACATACATACATACATACATACATACATACATACATACATACATACATACATACATACATACATACATACATACATACATACATACATACATACATTGATACACGGAGCAATCAGTTGCCCTCAGTCGCATTTGGAAAGGTGGACAGCCTCCAGACACCCCACCCCCTCAAAGCGGTGGAGCACGGCAGTACGGTCACACGGGGCCATGCCAGCTGCTACCTCCCCGTCCCCTCCTCTCCCAATGCATCTCCTGCTGCTGTCCGCACCCTGGCTCCTACAGCCCCCCAGCCCACCCAGGGGAACCCCCTCCCACGGGTGCCGGAACCCACCTCACCAACCCACCCCTCACCAACCCACCCCTCACCACCCCACCCCTCACCTCATCCAACCCACCCCACCCCACCTCATGTTCTGCGGCCGCTGCAGCCCGCAAGATGCAGCGGGTGAACAGGCGGCCCAGACCTCCGCGCCTGTGCTTCGGAGCCGTTCCCTGGAACAGAATCTGCAGCAGCCGGGGAGGCGCCACCCCACCATGCAGTGTGGGCATGTGTGTGCATGTGGGCGTGTGTGTGCGTGTGGGCGTGTGTGTGCATGTGGGCGTGTGTGCGTGTGGGCGTGTGTGTGCATGTGGGCGTGTGTGTGCATGTGGGCGTGTGTGTGCATGTGGGCGTGTGTGTGCATGTGTGCGCGCGCGTGTGTGTATTGGTGGGGAGAAAGGGGGAAGGCAGTGGGATGGTGCACCGCGGGGAGGGACCCTCGGTATGCTTGGAGGCGGAAACTGTGTGGGCCCAGGACACTTACCCCTCCTTCCCCCCCCCTACCACTGCCCGAGTAACAACGAGTCTCTTGGCATTATTTACATTACGAGAGCGAACCAGCCATGGACCTTCGTGGCCACTCAGGCAGCCATCTCCGCCCTCCCCCCAACATGCAACAGTCCCGGAGACAGCTCCTGCTCTCCGTTCGTGTGTGTATGTATATATGTATGTATATATATGTATGTATGTATGTTTGTATGTATCTAGATACCTACCGCCCCATTACCCTAGCATGTAAAGCCCCCGTGTCCAAGTCCGCACCAAGCCACTCCAGCACTCCCCCTGCTACTTGCTTTCCCCCGTACGGCCCCCTGCACCCCCACCTGCACATGCCGCCTGCTGCTGCCCGCACCCGCACCCGCACGACATTCAGTGGGGGGTAGGTGGAGCCGTGCGGAGGCGGCACACACCAGCCGGCCGCCTAGCCACAGTCCTGCTACCAGGCAGGAGTCGTAGCTGCGGAGGGGGAGGTCCAGATAAGGGATGCATCTGTGCGGGCGTGTGTGTGTGCGTGTGTGTGTTTTGAATATCGATCGGGGCCTGACACTGGCCAGGGGCACCTAACCCGGTGTACCCCCACGGGAATGAGCGACCGCCGAAGCACTCTGCTCCTTGTGTGTGTGGGGGGGAAGAGGGGCGGTGTAAAAGGGGTGATGGCGGTGGTGGGTTTGGGATTTAGGGTACCTCGCTTTTCACATTAGCGTGGGGGGTCGGGTGGGGTCCGGGGCGGGTTGGCCAACACGGGTGCCGTTGTTGTGTGACTCTGCCCACGGGTGCTTCACGGCCCATTGCTCCTTGAACCTGCGGCCACCTTCCTCCTTCCGAGGGTTGGCGAGCTTTCCAGCTTTGTCGGCAGTGGCCTTTCGCTGGCGCTGGCGGCAGTTGTCATTGCGGGACTGGATGCATTCCGCCGTGCCGGAGCCAGGCGAGCTCAGCTCAATGACGCTTTCCCCAGATGACCAGATCACTGCTTGCGTCAGAACCAGAAGATTTAGGTGGTGAAGCGTTTGCCTCAATTATCGCGGCTACGGGTGTCGCAGCAGCCCGGTCAATGGCTGGCTCAGAGTCTTACCTAACTCGAATGAATCACCTGCACACCTAAGGCCTTCCGGGACCCCGACGTGAAGGTAACTCGACTAGAGGTTGTTGCTCGTCGGTGTGGTAAGAGGAGACCGGAAATATGTCGCGAGATATGTTCCTTTTACTTTTACTGAGATATGGCGGCTTCGCAGCCGCGTTTGGGCTCATTTTCAAGTATTAAGTTTTATTGCTGGTATTGAGAGTATTATATATTGAAAGAAATTTTATAATGATCAAGCCGTCTAAGCACCTTCCGGAAGCGGGAATTTATTTTCTCAATAACCATTTGATCGCAAGTAGCCACTTTTAAAAGCACTGCAGGCCCTGCGCCTTGCGCAGGGGCGGCTGCGCACCCCCCTGGGGGGTCCTTGCACAACACCCGGGCGCCCCTCCTACCCGTGATAAGTGGCCCCCCTGCCGCCGCCATAAGCCCAGAAGCTGAATCCTACAACCCCAACTAATAACAACAACAAAACTGACCACCCTACGTCCCTCACCTCAACGAACTGCCTGGCAAAACCCAGGCCACGCAAAGAGAGAGCGCGTGTGTGTGTGTGGGGGGGGAGACCACGTGGAGTCAGTGCCGGTGCCGGTGCCGAAGACCCGGGAGAACGATGAGGGATGCCGTGATGACGGTGGTGGCGGTGGTGGTGTTCCCCCCCATCACCTTAGTTCTGACTTTTAAACTTCTGGCGTATCAGCTCTGCCGTACCTCAGTCTATATCCTCCTTGGCATCAGCTTTACTCGTTCACGTGGTTCGTCTTCCGCCCCATCACCATCACCCCCTCGATAGCATTGCAGGGTCTCCTCTCCCCAAGAAGAGTTCTCGTACCACCCTCAGGCCGCCTTTCCCAGCCCCCGTTTGCACACGCACACACGCACACACACACACACACACACACACCGGTTGCTGTCGACCAGCTTGCAGCTGGGTTCCGTGGGCTTGCGGCCGCAGTACACGGCGTCCTTGAGCTGGGGGGCACCGGGGGTAGGGGGTGGGGGGGGGAGAGGGGGTGTAGGGGGTGTGGAGGTACCAAGGGGTGGCATGGGGGGAGGGACCATACGAGGTGACAGGGCAGGCTGTATGTGCGCCGCATGTATGTATGTATGTATGTATGTATGTATGTATGTATGTATGTATGTATGTATGTATGTATGTATGTATGTATGTATGTATGTATGCACACGCGCGCGTGTGTATGTATGTGAGCGTGTGAAGCAAAAATAGACAAATCCTAATACATTACAAAGCACGCTGAGAGAGCTCCATTTCGGAGCGAGGAGGGCAAGACTTGATGCGTCGAAGGCGAGACTCAATTGATTGTTCTCAGCAAAGGGGTGTCTGTCTGTCCATCTGTCTGTCTGGAAGGAGGGAGGCGCGCTGACTGTTTGTGGGGGAGGGACGAGGACTCAAGGACCAAACCTTCTCCCCGTGCCGACTAGCTTGATGAGGCACGGTCAGAGAACCCACTGTAGAGGAGCATCGTGCAACAACTTGCTTGGCCAACCCCCTTCGAACGGAACCCACCTGCGCTTTGTTTTCGGGAAAAACTGAGGCCAACAGTCGGAAGACATTATCGTAGTGGACACTGTCCTCGCGGCTAGTCGAGGGGTTGAATGGCGGCAGCAAGCGAAATTCTGCGACGCCCTGCACGCAACCGGGTAAGTTCGGGAAACAGGCCGACAGCCGGCGGCGGAAAGCAAGGCGTTCTCTATAACTATTTTTTTCAACGAGCAGATTAGGTCAAGGCGTGGGAATGAGGACCGCAGTGGATCGTGCAAGTGTCGGGTATAAGGGTATATAAGGGCTACTGCGCGCATTCTACGAAAAGATGACCTACATGTAAAGGTATATTTTCAGCGACACTGCAACGACCTTGCAGCTTTTGGACTTCTTCTTGGATGCGATTTCGACAGCTCCGCATTCCAGGCATTCAAATACATCTGAAAATAGGTAGGGGAATTCAGATAAAATCAACACCTAATTAATTGAAATCGTCATAGAAGTTTATTCTAACCAAGCTCCTCAACTTACTCTTTCAGAAATTGCAAGAAATTGGGACCACCGCGGCTCGCGACCGTCTGTCGCAACCGAATGGCGTACGTGGGTGCATTGTACAGACAAGTTAGCATATAGATATCTCCATTAAATCCTGATCCGTGGACGATCTAGCACCTATGCTGCTTTTCAGGAAAGGCTAGTCTGTCAAGGAGCGGCTCAAAGCTATAGCTCCTTGGACCACCTGATACGATTCTGGGGGTTGGCTCTGGCATGCGCCCCAGACAAGCCTTTTTGGCAAGCTTCGGACATTTGGCATTATCTGACGAGGAAGAAGCTTTGCAGTGCAAGGCTCAACCCCCAAATCTGCCATACGACCCTGGGCAGGAACTGTCCGGTGCCCGTGTGGCGCGGCGGCGACTTTAGGCGCGACAACAGCAAGCAGTGAAAGGGCTTAAACCGCGCAGCGTCCCCAATCCCTCGGAAACGGAGCGCATCACGACGCTTATTGTTGATGTCTCGATGAACATTTAGCGCGGAGTAATCAGCTGCCCAGCTGACCGCTTGCCTGACAGCCTATAACCTTCATCAAGCCATACATGTTAGCACAACACGTGGCGACGCAATCCTTTGCCATTAAGACGCCTGATAGCCTTTGTGTGCTTCCCCCCTCCTCCTAATGCGCCAACTCAACCGCTGGCCTTTCCGTTCCATGGAGACCGGGGGTAATAACTTCCCCGATGACCTTCTTTTGGGCCCCCGGTCGAATAGTGCTTCCCGTTTCTTTCAGGACACAATGCATTGTTCCTCGACTTTTGCACCGCCCGATACTTCCCAAACTGTTGCCCCCAACCCCCAACACCATCAACTGCAGCCGTTCGACCATCATCAACCCCAGGACCCCATCATCTGCTGTGTGGTGCCTGCGCCGTGACCGCCTGCGTGGCAGGGTGGTGGTGGGTCCAACGCCGCCACCAGCGACCTAAGGGCAACCATGGAACCGGTTCCACCACCCCCACCGGCGACCGCGGCCCCCTCCTATTGTCGCCGACGAAAAAACCTCCGCACGGAGCTCTTGCCGCATGTCTGGTCCCTATCATCAACATAACTTCCACCTTAACCACCAACACACATACACACAGACACACATACACACAGACACACATCATGGAAGGGTACGTAAACCCCCACCCTCCGCCCCCGGGAGTGGCAGTGGAGACAGGAGAGCATGTCTGTATATCTCTCTGTATATGTATATGTGCGTAGAGAGCGACATCGTTTAGACCACAACTGGCGACGCAACTACTGCTACTGCTGCACTGCAAGAAGCAGCTATTATGCCAAGCCGGACGACATCCCACATATGTGTGTGTTTCCGGCCATAGCGCCGCTCTTTATTGTATATACGGTCTAGTTTACTAGACCCAACTTATAACATTTAACTTGAAACACTCCCAATAGATGTTCATGTGCAGTGTACGCTGCTCCAAACTCCATCACACTCTCCGCATCATGCCAGCCATACAATACGATTTGGAACCCCAAGAAAACACGGAAAGTATAAAAACGACTTCAGCTGAAAAATGAACCCCAACAGCGTTGTATTATTGTACGAATGCCGGACGCCACCAACTGAACTCCTTCCACCGCCTGCTCCCCAGTCTGCCGCCCCCACCATCACACGCTGCTCCATGCGCGTCCACCTTTGCATGTCCGTACAGCGATATCCGTACTGTCGTACGGCACCAACCTAACCGCAGGCTGAAGTACGCTTTTCCCAACCAGACCTCACCCCCATACGATTAAGCTAGGGCCGCGGCTTACCGAAGGGGCTCGGCTCAAGAGGCTGCACCGCAGCGCCCCAGGAAAGCACAGGGGGGCCGAACAGCCCTCTGGTAACAGTCCTCTTATGTACGACACCTTAGCGGATAAGGCCCCCAGGAGATGTCCGCGGCGGCAGCCAGCCCCCCGCGCCGGGCCCCCAACCCCAGCCCCAGCCCCAGCCCCACATCCGGGAGGCCCGCCGGGCATCGCCCGCCGTACGGGCCCCGTACCGGCTGACGTACGTGTACGTCCGCCCAGTCGCCGTCATGGCAGTTGCCAGTCCCGCCCCTGCCGCCGCCGCCAGCAGCAGCGCCCGCAGCCCGAGTCCCGACAGGCCCCCCACCAGGGCGCCCACCAATGCGCCTAGTAAAGCCAGGCTGTCATTGGCCACCACCACCTGGGGTTTCGGAGCCAGGGAGAAGGACAGGGCCTCACCGCCAGGGCCGGTGAGCACCTGCCGGCGGTGGGGGTGGGCCGGCGGGGGTGGGGCGGTGGGGGGTGGGGGTGGGGCGGTGGGGGTTGGGGTGGGGCCGCTGAAGTTGCGAAATAGGGGGGAGTAAGCGGACCTTGGGAAGGGGGCCACCCATCCAAATGCCTTGGGTGCGGTGGCGGCGGTGGCAACGAGAGGAAACTAATCGACGGGGGGGAGAAGGAGAGGAGGAGAGAGCATCGCCGTGAGATATTCATAGACCCAAAGCCAATCCCACCCAGGCCCCCTTACCCCCTCCCACCCGTAAAGCTGGTGCCTTCGACTTCGGCGACGCAAGTTACAAGTTACAAGTTCCGCACGCAAGTGCGGGTGTGTCCGTAAAAGCCGGGGGGGGCCCATGGACTTTACATTGGTATTGATGCGGGTATTGACGCGGGAGGCCATCCTCCTCCTCCCTCCTCCGCTTCAGGGCTTTAGCGTATTTTGGATGTCAGCCGTCAATGATCTGATGTGTTCACTTCGCATCCTCCGATTCCCAAGTATTTATCTTGTTAACGGCTCTATCTATCTCTTCTGCACATTTAGATGATTTAAAGGTAGGATTTAGCATGTTAATGATATGGCACTAAGTAAAAACCGACCTGACCCCTCCATCCAAACCCTTCGTGCCAGCCCCCTCCCCAGCTCCCCCCCTCCCGCCCTTACCCCTTTCACCCCCCCTTTTTCCGCACCTTCGTGGGTCGTACACTCACGTCACCCGTCACCTGGCCCCCCGCGGCCGCCCCCAGAGCGGCCCCCAGCGCCGCCCCCAGCGGACCGGCTAGCGGCCCCACGGAGCCGCCAACCAGAGCACCAACCGCGGCACCAACCATCGTACCGGCGCTGG